TCCTTGATCAGTTTCCATCCCTTGTTTCTCGTCCTTCCCTCTGGTGCTTTGGAGAATAGTTTGACCCCCTCTTCTTTGGGGCAGCCCCCCAAATACTGGAATTCTGCTATTATGTCTCCCCTATTTCTTCTTTCTTTTAGACTATCCAGACCCAAGTCCTGCAGCCGTTCTTCCTATGTTTTAGTCTCCAGACCTTGGATCCTCTTAGTTGCTCTTCTCTGAACTTTTTCCAAACTCTCAACATCTTCTTTTGAACTCATCTGAAGTCATCCCCTCCTGGGCTAGTTGTCAGCTTTTCCAGGTTCAATCAGAGCTAAAGAAGCTTCTTGGATGAGAAGCGAACTGTCTTCAAAGGAAAAACAAGAAACACCGGTTGCCTCCTGAAAAAAAAAGCACCTTTGGGACATCTATGACATAATTTCCAGCCCGAATGAAACCAGAAACCGTGAACCCTCTTTTTCCCCTGTAAACATAACCCGGAACAACAAGATGAAAATTTTGCAAGAGTGTCTTCCCTGCAGAGAGCTTTGCATTCCCAACACAAGCTCCCCAAAGGTGCGGTCAGCGTAAACAACCAAATAGATAATTAAAATGAAAAGGAAGGAACCATACAGAGGTGGCCTTGAACGGTGAGACCGGCAGCCAATAAATTTGATGATAGGAATAACCGTAATCATAAGCGACCTTTCTTGATTTGGTTTTGAGACAAGGCAATATAGGACTGACAGGATAGAATTAACAGAGAGATGGAATCAGGTGAAGGGTTAATTCCACTTTACGAGGCTTTGGAAAGGCCACGCTTGGAATACGGCATCCAGTTTTGGGCCCCACGAGGTAAAAAAGATTTTGAGACTCTAGAAAGAGTGCAGAGAAGAGCAACAAAGATGATCAGGGGACTGGAGGCTAAAACATATGAGGAACGGTTGCTGGAATTGGGTATGTCTAGTTTAACGAAGAGAAGGACGAGAGAGGACATGGTGGTAGTGTTCCAGTAACTCAGGGGCTGTCCCAAAGAAGAGGGAGTCAAGCTCTTCTCCAAAGCGCCCGAAGGCAGGACAAGAAGCAACGGATGGAAACTCATCAAGGAGAGAAGCAACCTGGAACTAAGGAGAAACTTCCCGACAGTTAAAACAATTAATCAGTGGAACAACCTGCCTCCAGAAGCGGTGAATGCTCCAACACTGGAAGTTTTTAAGAAGAGACTGGACAGCCATTTGTCTGAAATGGTGTAGGGTTTCCTGCCTGAGCAGGGGGTTGGACTAGAAGACCTCCAAGGTCCCTCTCAACTCTCTTTCTTCTTCTTCTTCTTCTTCTTCTTCTTCTTCTTCTTCTTCTTCTTCTTCTTCTTCTTCTTCTTCTTCTTCTTCTTCTTCTTCTTCTTCTTCTTCTTCTTCTTCTTCTTCCTCTTCCTCTTCCTCTTCCTCTTCCTCTTCTTCTTCTCCTGCATTGAGCTTTTTAATCATAAACATTTCCTTTTGGCATAAGAGACCGGATATTGAATCCTAGAGGGGCAATCATTTTTCCCTTCTCATTTTGCAGATGGGAAACTGAGGAACTGTTTTGCTTAAGAACCAGAACAAACAAACAGGAAGAGAGGAGGGCTATGTGGGGGCTATGTGGAGAACTAGATTGGTTTGGTGGTTAAGGTGCCAGACTAAAAAGCCAGGGGCTGTGAGTGCTAGCCCCGCTTTAAACATAAAAAGCTTCTGGGTGACTTTGGGCCAATCACCAGGAGACTGGGAGTTCTAGTCCCACCTTAGGAATGAAAGTGGCTGGGTGACATTGGGCCAATCACCAGGAGACGGTGAGTTATAGTTCCTCACTAGCCATGCAAGTCGGCTGGGTGACTTTGGGGTAATCACTAGGAGACGGTAAGTTCTAGTATCACCTTAGGCAAGAAAGCCGGCTGGGTCACTTTGGACCAATCACCAGGAGACGGTGAATTCTAGTTCCTCACTAGCCATGCAAGTCGTCTGGGTGATATTGGACCAATCACCAGGAGACAGTAAATTCTAGTCTAGTCCCACCTTAGGAATGAAAGTGGCTGGGTGACGTTGGGCCAATCACCAGGAGATTATGAGTTCTAATCCTGCCTTAGGCATGAAATCCAGCTAGATGACTTTGGGCCAATCACCAGGAGATGGTGAGTTCTAGTTCTGCCTTAGGCATGAAAGCCAGCTGGGTGGCTTTGAGCTAGTCATTCTCTCTCAACCCAACCTACTCAAAGAGTAGATGTGGTAAAAAAAATAGGAGGAAGCATATTAGTTATGTTTGGCACCTTAAGTTATATATAAAATCTAATCTTATATAAATAAAAATGTAAATGTTCATTTGTTCAAAATCTCAAATCTCCGAAAGTTCTTCACCGATTGCTTTGAAATTTTGACACAACGTTGTATTCGAATACGCGCGTGTTTTTATACACCTATATTATATAGATGTCACACTTGTGACAGGTAAAAACTTGCTTTTTTTGAAAAACAGCACCATCTGTTGGACGTAATCTCTATATCTGCACACACAGTGGAACAACAAAAAGTATTGTATACCCACAAGCATTGTGAAATTAAACATATTACAAACGTGCGCTTTCTCTTTTCTTTCTTTTCCATTTAACCCAGTGGTTCTCAACCTTTTTAATGCCGCGACCCCCAACCGGTCGTAAGTCGAGGACTACTCAACTGGTCGTAAATCGAAGACTACTCAACTGGTGCAGCACTGTTTGCAGAATGGGACTTTTGGCGGGCTCAGCAGGGCAGAGACAGCCTGGACAATTCCTATTGGCTTTTGAAAGCCAATAGAATTAGACTCTATTCAAGAGAGCCTATTCTATTGGCTTTCAGAAGCCAATAGAATAAAAGGGAGTAGCACAGCTAAGGAAAAGGGGAGAAAAAAATGGCGACTGCGTTGTTTGGCGACCCCCGTGAAATGATCGTTCGACCTCAAATGGGGTCCCGACCCACAGGTTGAGAACCACTATTTAACCACACTGAGCCACAGCAACGCGTGGCTGGGTACAGCTAGTCATAAATAAATAAAAACTAAAAAACACCATTTCCCATGACCGGTCCTTGGGTGTGGCCACTGCGTTGCAGATGGACCATGAGTGGTTTCAGAAATGTCAAGATTATATGACTGAAACCCTACCCATCACAAAAAGGGTCAGGGCTTCAGCTATCTTGATTTTTCTGTCCTCGCTTCCCACAACTTACAACGCATCGTCTTCGCTCTCAGCGCACAGCATGGTCTTGGGCCCAGCCCTTTGCACAACGCACAACAGGCACTCCCGGGTTTTCCCTTCCGGAGGCTGGATATCTATAAAGACAGGAAAGGAGACATAAGCAGAGAGCCGGCCGGCGTTTTTCTTTCTATCTCAATAATAGGTTTCTAGACCTCAAGGGGATCGTGGTAAACAAGACACTCCCCAGGACTTCCCTCCGAATCCTACCTGTTCTTCATTAAAGCTGGGTGGGAAATGCTGATCAAAACATGTCATAATATTATTACGAATAATATTTCATTTTCATTTCTGTGCCTGGGATCAACATCGGACTCCCAACAGACTCAGAATTAATTAGGCATAATTTTCATGCAGGTCCCTGATTAAAAAACTGCAGGAAACACCCTCAGGGCGACGGGGGGGGGGGTTGGACTAGATGACCTCCAAAGTCCCTTCCAACTTTATCATTATTATTATTATTATAAATACGAGCCAGTTGCCACGACCCTGGGACACTGCAACCATCATAAATGTGAGTCGGTGGCCGAGCATCCATTTTGATCACGTGACCCTGGGGACACTGCAACGGTCGTAAGTGTGAATAACGTTCATGTCCCTTTTTTCCAGTGCCCGTCGTGACTTTGGTCACTAAATGAACTGTTGAGGACTCCCTGCAGTTTTAAAAATAAAAGTTGCCGTCGTAAGATGGGTGGGTGTTTTTTTAAAGCAAAGAACGTCTTCCCGGCTAAATATCTCTGAAGCGATCCTAGTTGTCTGTTGCAAGCCAGGAGAGTCGCCGCAAAATTAGGACCTCGGGGGATCAGTTGTCAAAGTAACTCTTGAGTTGTGGAGTCACAGTGAAACAAACAGCAGGGGATTAGGCAGCCTTGGCGGATGTCCCAGGGGACACAACAAATCTCAAACAAAAGCTGCCATACTGACCCCGGAGGGCCAAAACCTTCGTCTGTGTGGTACACAACAACACAGAGGCTTGTTGCCTCCCAGGAAAAGATTCCAGGATGTTCGTTCAGAGAGGATGAAAAAACAAGTCGTGAGCTCTTTCCAAAATCCAGACGCCTGAAGATGTGGCAGGAGAGCAGTTTATAATAATAATAATAATAACAACAACAACAACAATAATAAAAAAAGTTGGGAGGGACCTTGGAGGTCATCTAGTCCAACCCCCTGCTCAGGCAGGAAACCCTACACCATTTCAGACAAATGGCTGTCCAGTCTCTTCTTAAAAACTTCCAGTGTTGGAGCATTCACCGCTTCTGGAGGCAGGTGGTTCCACTGGTTAATTGTTCTAATTGTTTGCAAGGATGGTTTGCAGGAACGAGCTTGGGAGACAGGAGGCAGAACTGCAAGCTACACAACTGGCGGAGAAGAGGCAGCTGAGCCTGCAGCAGAAATGGAGGTGTGACAAAAAGGGACCCTCACTAGTGTGTCAAGCTGTAAAGGAGGGGGGGGTGAAATGTATTTTCAAATATACCCTCCAATCCTGGGTTGTATAAACAGAGGCACGGAATCAAGATCACGCGAGGTATTAGTACTGCTTTATAAAACCCTAGGGAGGCCACACCTAGAGTACTGCAGCCAGTGTTGGTCACCATGTCACAAAAAAGAGGTTGAGAGTTTGGGAAAAATTCAGAGAAGAGCAACTAAGATGATCCAAGGCCTGGAGCCTAAAACATATCAAGAGCGGCTGCGGGACTTGGGTTTGGCTAGTCTAAAAAAAACAAAACAGGGGAGACAGGATAGCAGTCTTCCAGTATCTCAGGGGCTGCCCCAAAGAAGAGGGAGTCAAGCTATTCTCCAAAGCACCAGAAGGAAGGACGAGAAACGATGGTTGGAAACTGACCAAAAAGAGAAGCAACCTGGAATTAAGGAGAAACTTCCTGACAGTGAGGACAATTAACCAGTGGAACTCCTTGCCACCAGAAATCATGGGCGCTCCATCCCTGGAGGTTTTTAAGAAGAGGCTAGACAGTCACTTGTCTTGAGACGGTGTAGGTTCTCCTGCTTGAGCGAGAGGCTGGACTAGAAGACCTCCAAGGTCCCTTCCAGCTCTATTCTATTCCTATCAGGCAGCAAAGCAAGATGAACAAACGGCTATGAGGTTATTGGATGGTGTCCATCAATTTCCTGTAATTCTCTCTCTCTCTCTCTCTCTCTCTCTCTCACTCTCTCTCTTTCTCTCTCTCTTTTTCTCTCTCTCACTCTCACTCTTTCTTTCTCTCCCTCTCTCTCTCTTTCTCTCTCTCTCTCTTTTTTTTTCTCTTTCTCTTTCTCTTTCTCTCTCTTTCTCTCTTTCTCTCTCTCTTTTTCTCTTTCTCACTCTCTCTCTCTCTCTCTCTCTCTCTCTCTCACACACACACACACACACACACACACACACACACAGATACGAAGGAAGGAAGGAAGGAAGGAAGAATTAGCTGGAGGCTGGCAGAAAACTAGCCACTGTTCCTTTAGCACTGCTGGCAGTTGTGTTGGTGTCAAATGAAAGGGTCCTCTGTTTCGACTTGCTGTGTCCCTCCATTGTGTAGGAAGAGGACATTTGGGGTGATTCAGCCCAGCACTGCCAGGACTACAGGAGACAGGAATGCAACCCTTTCCATTACTAGTGATGGTGCTCCATCACTGGAGGTTTTCAGGAAGAGATTTGTCTGAAATGATATAGGGTTTTCCTGCTTGAGCAGGGGGCTGGACTAGAAGACCTCCAAGGTCCCAGCTTTCTTCCATTCCATTCCATATTTTCTATTCTATTCTATTCTATTCTATTCTATTCTATTCTATTCTATTCTATTCTATTCTATTCTATTCTATACTATTCTATACTATTCTATTCCATTCCATATTTTCTATTCTATTCTATTCTATTCTATTCTATTCTATTCTATTCTATTCTATTCTATTCTATTCTATTCTATTCCATTCCATTCCATTCCATTCCATTCTATTCTATTCCATTCCATTCCATTCCATTCCATTCCATATTTTCTGTTCTATCCTATCCTATCCTATCCTATCCTATCCTATCCTATCCTATCCTATCCTATCCTATCCTATCCTATCCTATCCTATCCTATCCTATCCTATCCTATTCCATTCCATATATTCTATTCTATTCTATTCTATTCTATTCTATTCTATTCTATTCTATTCTATTCTATTCCATCTCTCCTCTCCTCTCTTCTCTTCTCTTCTTCTCTTTGAGGGGCTGCTAGAAAGACAGGCGGTCAACAGCTACCTGTATGTGTGACTTAGAGAACCGACTGCAGGGTTTTTAAAGAAAAGAAAATGGAAGAGCTGTTTGGTCAGAACATTGCACAGCCGGTGTCCAAATGAAGTTAGAGACCACTGACATGAACTTGCAGTTTTGTATAAATAAATCTATTTAACATCTGTGTTTACAGCAAACTAGACAAGTCCGGCTGACTGGAGCCTCATGAGGTAAATCAACACAGCAGGAGCTTCGTGAGGTAAATTACAGAGCGCACAGGAGAAAAAGGCGGGAAAAAAGGAACCTCCCCCTCCCCCTCCACAACAACCAATCACAGCACAGATTGCCTCACGCAGGAGCCAACCCTCTCCAATCAATCAGCCACAATTGGCTGTTCTGGCTGACTGCACGCACACACACACACACACACACACACACACACACACACACACACACAGAAACGCAAACACCGCTCCAGCTACTAAATTTAAATATCTTAACATGTTTGCTTCTGTGGCAGTCTCCCCACAGCCTTGAGGACTAGAAACTTAGCTTAAGAATAAACAGTGGGCTTTCATTCTGGTATCTGTGAAAAAGATCCAGTTGGCAACCCCAAGTCTACTCACCACGGCATTCGCGGCCTGTCCTGACGTCTCGGCAATTGGATCTGATGTTAATTCTTCCGTCCATTTCGCGGCCGGTATCATCTTGGTAGTAGACGAGGCTGCCGTCCGCCCACAGCACGAACCAGTTCCTTTTCCAGCGTCGCAGAATAGAACCTGCACAGGCCGGGGGGATGGGGGAAAGAATTAAGAAAAATGGGGAAATAGTACAGATAGTCCTCGACTTATAACCGTTCATTTAATGACCAAAGATACAACAGCACTGAAAAAAGTGACTTAGGACCGTTTTTCACACTTATGACCATTGCCGTCACGTGATCCAAATTCAGACGCTTGGAAACCGATTCGTATTTATGACGGGCTGCAGGGTCCTGGGATGATGTGATCCGCTTTTGCGACCTTCTGACAAGCAAGGTCAATGGAGGAAGCCAGAGTCACTGAAGATCCGTGGCACAAACCTCACTTAACAAATGTCTCACTTAGCGACAGAAACCTTGGGCTCAGTTGTGGTCATAAGTCAAGGACTACCTGTATTTACGACGGTTGCAGTGTCCTGGGGTCATGTGATTCCCCTTCTGCGACCTCCCAACAACCAAAGGCAACGTGGAAGCCGGATTCACTTAACAACCGTGTTGGTATCTTAACAATGATTCATTTAACAACTGTGGCAAGAAAAGTAAAACAAAATGGGGCAAAACTCATTTAACAAGGCCTCGCTTAGCAACAGAAATGTTGAGCTCAGTTGTGGTCGTAAGTCGAGGACTGCCTGTACATCTACATCCTTGTGAATCAACTCTTTAGCATATATGTTATGATCCTTCAATGCTTTAAGCACTTTAAAAGCTTGGATAGGCTGAGTAATCGCACAGACACGATTCCAAAGCAGCTTAATTATTTTACTTTGGTACAATTCATCATTATTCTATTCTGTCATTTCCTCTTTGGATTTAGGCAGCCGCCCACGGGCGACAGAACTCGAGAAAGCTCCCAGACAACAACAAAAATAAGAAAACAAATTAAAAGGATTATAAAACAATCCAAAACAAGTGAACTAAATGTGCCAGCCAAGGTGGCACCACCAGAAATGCCAGTCCACATACAGGTGATCCTCGACTTAACAACCATTTGTTTAGTGACCACTTGAACTTACAACGGCACCCAAAAAAATGACTTAGGACCAGTGGTGGGATTCAGACATGTGAACAACCGGTTCTGTGTGTGGATGCCGCTTCCGGAAGTCCATTCTGGGCCCGGGCAACAAAAAATTAGTTACTGGTTCTGCCGAAGTGGTGCGAACCGGCTGAATCCCACCACTGCTTAGGACCGATTTCCACGCTTGTGACCGTCACAGCCTCCCCATGGTCATGTGATCAGAATTCAAACACGTGGCAACTGACTCATATTTATGATGGTTGTGGTTTCCTGGGGGTTACGTGATCTGTTTTTGTGACCTTCTGACCATGAGGAAGCGAGATTCACTGAACAACTGAGTTACTAACTTAACTGCAGTGATTCCCTTAACTGTGGTCAGAAAGCTCATAAAACAGGGCCAAAGTCACTTAACAACTTGTTTAGCAAAGGAAATTGTGAGCTCAGTTGTGGTCGTAAGTCGAGGGCTTGCAGCACAGCCACCAGCCGCTGAAACGGAAGATTACTGGAAGAACATATGAAGAAAAAAAAAAGACCTATAACTCCACTGCAAAGTGGTCGCAGGATCTGAGAACAGATCTCTGCGATCTCCCTAGAGCAGGGGTAGGCAACCTTGGCTCTTTTATGCCTCGTGGACTTCAACTCCCAGAATTCCTCAGCCCGCCATGCTGAGGGGAAGGGAGAGGTTTCCAAGCTGAGCCATGCTGGCTCAGGAATTCTGGGAGTTGAAGTCCACAAGTCATGAAGGGACCATAGTTCCCCCATGTTGGCTGAGGAATTCTGGGAGTTGAAGTCCACGAGTCATGAAGGGGCCATAATTCCCCCATGTTGGCTGAGGAATTCTGGGAGTTGAAGTCCACGAGTCATGAAGGGGCCATAATTCCCCCATGTTGGCTGAGGAATTCTGGGAGTTGAAGTCCACGAGTCATGAAGGGGCCATTGTTCACTCATGCTGGCTCAGGAATTCTGGGAGTTAAAAAGTCCACAAGTCATGAAGGGACCATAGTTCCCCCCATGCTGGCTGAGGAGTTCTGGGAGTTGGTCCACAAGTCATAAAGGCAGCCATAGTTCCCCCATGATGGCTGAGGAATTCTGGGAGTTAAAGTCCACAAGTCATGAAGAGGCCATAGTTCCCCCATGCTGGCTGAGGAATTCTGGGAGTTGAAGTCCACCAATCATGAAAGGGCCATAGTTCCCCCATGCTGGCTCAGGAATTCTGGGAGCTGAAATCCATGAGTCATAAAAGAGCCAAGGTTGCCTACCCCTGCCCTAGACGAATCGGTCAGCAGCCTACATCTACCAGTGGATCGAGAACTTTTTGAAATGGAGAGCCAATGGACATGACCACACTAGCTAAAGAAACTAAGAGAAGTGCATGAACGTTGAGTAGCACAGATGAGCCAACTGGTAGTAAAAGGCCCCGGAAATTAATCACTTATGCAGGTGGAGGCTCATTCTCCGAACTTGTGGGTCGATTTCTTTGCTACCAGGCTAGGTAACATCTTCAGCAGAGTTTAGGGAAGTTTAGAATTTAGTGTCCCTCTGCTTATAAGGGCTTCAGGTGTGGGTGTGTTGAGCGAGGGTCTCGTGATGAGTCAGGTGTGAGTCATCAGTGAGGGTCTTGGGATGGATCTTGTATAGGGAGGTCACATCAGCTCAGGGTGATTGGGAGGTAAACCACTGGTGGAAAATGGGGGATTGCGCGGGATAGTTGAAGCTTGGTGTTGTCTCTGGTCAGTTGATTTGGATCCTGATCGTGGGCTGGTTATAGGTCGATGTATCTGTGGATGGAAGTGCATGTGGAGGGCCAGGCTTCAAGGGACTCACAAGCGTGGCGTCTGGGAGTGTGGCCGATGGTTTTTGTGTTGTTCCAATCGAACTGGTGCTGTTTGGTCTCAGTGTGGGTGGAGATTAAGGATTCGGGATTGGGGCATTCGACTGCCAGCAAGTGTTCGTGGATCCTGTTTTTTTAACTGACATGATGTTTGTCCCATGTAGAATTGGTTGCAATTGATCACTCAATCACTACATCGCTTAACAAAAAATTTGGGCTCAAATTGTGGTCGCAAGTCGAAGACTACCTATATTTATATATTTATTCGTAGTTCACATTTCTGAATGAATTTGGGTGCTAAGGATTTGATTTTTTTTCTCTTTGAAGTGAGGAATTGCAGCAGTCAAGGGCATGGCAGAGATTTTGAGCCCCAAATTTCTGTGGCTAAATGAAACATTTGTTAAGTGGATTTTGACTCGTTTTACAACCCTTTCTTGCTACAGTTGTTAAGCGAATCACCGCAGTTGTTAAGTTAGTCACACGGTTGTTAAGTAAATCTGGCTTTCCCCCCGTTGACTTTGCTTATAAAAAGGTCGCAAAGGGGATCACGTGAGCCCAGGATGCTGCAACCGTCATCAATAGGAACCAGTTGCCAAGTGTCCGAATTTTGATGACCTGCAAAGGTCATTAAGTGTGAAAAAAGGATGATAAGTCTCTGTTTTCATTGCTGTTGTAACACTGAACGGTCACTAAACGAATGGTTGCAAGTGAAGAACTACCTGTACATTTTAACTGCTTTCTCTCCAAATTCCCGCCATCCTCTTCTTCTCCTCTTTTCCGAGAACCTTCTGGGCATTTCTTTCCTAGCGCCTTTTGATCGGAAGCCTGGAGCGAAACGGTCGCCCACAGATGTGGGAAGCGAAGAAAGTGCAAATGTTGCAGAACCTCAGGGCCAGCTTGTCATCCGACACTTCGCGATTGGAGCCTTTGCATTGATTTTCCGTCTGTTCTTCTCCTAGGGGGTTTGGACCCCTTCCAGCTTCCCATTTAAAACCCGCCGATTGACCCACGCAACCTTCACACGGAGGCACTGATCTGCTGCAGGGAGGGACTGCCGAGCTGAAGAATTTTGAAACTGAAGTGCAATGCGTAATTCGGAAGGATGCAGATTTGGGGGGGAAATGCGTGAAAGGAGCACGTCCGGGGTCTAAGGCTGGACTAGAACTCACCATCTCCTGGTGATTGGCCCAAAGTTCACCCAGCCGGCTTTCATGCCTAAGGCGGGACTAGAACTCACCGTCTGCTGGTGATTGGCCCAAAGTCACCCAGTCGGCTTTCATGCCTAAGGAGGACTAGAACTCACCGTCTCCTGGTGATGGGCCCAAAGTCACCCAGCTGGCTTTCATGCCTAAGGCGAGACTAGAACTCACCGTCTCCCTGGGTGATTGGGCCAAAGTCACCCAGCTGGCTTTCATGCCTAAGGCGGATAGAACTCACCGTCCCTGGTAATAGGCCCAAAGTCACCCAGCTGGCTTTCATGCCTAAGGCGGGACTAGAACTCACCGTCTCCTGGTGATTGGGCCAAAGTCACCCAGCTGGCTTTCATGCCTAAGGCGGGACTAGAACTCACGTCTCTGGTAATAGGCCCAAAGTCACCCAGGCTGGCTTTCATGCCTAAGGCGGACTAGAACTCACTGTCTCCTGGTGATTGGCCCAAAGTCACCCAGCTGGCTTTCATGCCTAAGGCAAGACTAGAACTCACCGTCTCCTGGTGATGGCCCAAAGTCACCCAGCTGGCTTTCATGCCTCAGGCGAGACTAGAACTCACCGTCTCCCTGGTGATTGGGCCAAAGTCACCCAGCTGGCTTTCATGCCTAAGGCGGGACTAGAACTCACCGTCTCCTGGTAATAGGCCCAAAGTCACCCAGCCGGCTTTCATGCCTAAGGCGGGACTAGAACTCACCGTCTCCTGGTGATTGGCCCAAAGTCACCCAGCCAGCTTTCATGCCTAAGACTGAACTAGAACTCACTGTCTCCTGATAATAGGCCCAAAATCACCCAGCTGGCTTTCATGCCTAAGGCGGGACTAGAACTCACCATCTCCTGGTGATTGGCTCAAAGTCACCCAGCTGGCTTTCATGCCTAAGGTGGGACTAGAACTCTCAGTCTCCTAGTTTCTAAGCCAGCACCTTCACCACTACATCAAACTTCCTCTCCACGTCACTTTTGGACCAGTATTTGCACAGATGATTTACCACTGTCATCTTCTGGGATCTTTTCCCCTTTATTTCTCACCCTTCTGGAATTCTCATCAATCCGCCCATACAAATACAAACCCAAGCTGTCTCTACTTAGCTTCCGTGATCAGCAGTACCTTCCCCCCCTTTGAGCCTCCTAAAGGACCTAATCACCACCCAGACGGGGAAAACCCCCCTGGTGATGGACCTGGTAAAAGAAATTCCAATTGCAATTGCACACTAGGAAATTTCCTCAATTAACTTACTCTGTCTCCAGAGCCAGCCGCATTTCAATAGAGCCATCTTTTGCCAAGTCTTTTTTTCTCCACAGAAATATCTGGATCAAATGGAAGAAGAAGAAGAAAAAATATATATATTTATAGGGTATTATACTCTATTTAAACCCCATTCCAACTCTGATCGGGTTGCTGGAACGTGCTACATTCCACCAGCTGCTGCTTAAACTGTAAGTTTTGGGAGAATCCACCAGGAAAGTAGCAAGGCCCTGATTGGATCTCCATTATATTTATAGGGTATTATACTCTATTTAAACCCCATTCCAACTCTGATCGGGTTGCTGGAACGTGCTACATTCCACCAGCTGCTGCTTAAACTGTAAGTTTTGGGAGAATCCACCAGGAAAGTAGCAAGGCCCTGATTGGATCTCCATTATATTTATAGGGTATTATACTCTATTTAAACCCCATTCCAACTCTGATCGGGTTGCTGGAACGTGCTACATTCCACCAGCTGCTGCTTAAACTGTAAGTTTTGGGAGAATCCACCAGGAAAGTAGCAAGGCCCTGATTGGATCTCCATTATATTTATAGGGTATTATACTCTATTTAAACCCCATTCCAACTCTGATCGGGTTGCTGGAACGTGCTACATTCCACCAGCTGCTGCTTAAACTGTAAGTTTTGGGAGAATCCACCAGGAAAGTAGCAAGGCCCTGATTGGATCTCCATTATATTTATAGGGTATTATACTCTATTTAAACCCCATTCCAACTCTGATCGGGTTGCTGGAACGTGCTACATTCCACCAGCTGCTGCTTAAACTGTAAGTTTTGGGAGAATCCACCAGGAAAGTAGCAAGGCCCTGATTGGATCTCCATTATATTTATAGGGTATTATACTCTATTTAAACCCCATTCCAACTCTGATCGGGTTGCTGGAACGTGCTACATTCCACCAGCTGCTGCTTAAACTGTAAGTTTTGGGAGAATCCACCAGGAAAGTAGCAAGGCCCTGATTGGATCTCCATTATATTTATAGGGTATTATACTCTATTTAAACCCCATTCCAACTCTGATCGGGTTGCTGGAACGTGCTACATTCCACCAGCTGCTGCTTAAACTGTAAGTTTTGGGAGAATCCACCAGGAAAGTAGCAAGGCCCTGATTGGATCTCCATTATATTTATAGGGTATTATACTCTATTTAAACCCCATTCCAACTCTGATCGGGTTGCTGGAACGTGCTACATTCCACCAGCTGCTGCTTAAACTGTAAGTTTTGGGAGAATCCACCAGGAAAGTAGCAAGGCCCTGATTGGATCTCCATTATATATATAGGGTATTATACTCTATTTAAACCCCATTCCAACTCTGATCGGGTTGCTGGAACGTGCTACATTCCACCAGCTGCTGCTTAAACTGTAAGTTTTGGGAGAATCCACCAGGAAAGTAGCAAGGCCCTGATTGGATCTCCATTATATATATAGGGTATTATACTCTATTTAAACCCCATTCCAACTCTGATCGGGTTGCTGGAACGTGCTACATTCCACCAGCTGCTGCTTAAACTGTAAGTTTTGGGAGAATCCACCAGGAAAGTAGCAAGGCCCTGAGTGGATCTCCATTATATATATAGGGTATTATACTCTATTTAAACCCCATTCCAACTCTGATCGGGTTGCTGGAACGTGCTACATTCCACCAGCTGCTGCTTAAACTGTAAGTTTTGGGAGAATCCACCAGGAAAGTAGCAAGGCCCTGATTGGATCTCCATTATATTTATAGGGTATTATACTCTATTTAAACCCCATTCCAACTCTGATCGGGTTGCTGGAACGTGCTACATTCCACCAGCTGCTGCTTAAACTGTAAGTTTTGGGAGAATCCACCAGGAAAGTAGCAAGGCCCTGATTGGATCTCCATTATATATATAGGGTATTATACTCTATTTAAACCCCATTCCAACTCTGGTCGGGTTGCTGGAACGTGCTACATTCCACCAGCTGCTGCTTAAACTGTAAGTTTTGGGAGAATCCACCAGGAAAGTAGCAAGGCCCTGATTGGATCTCCATTATATTTATAGGGTATTATACTCTATTTAAACCCCATTCCAACTCTGATCGGGTTGCTGGAACGTGCTACATTCCACCAGCTGCTGCTTAAACTGTAAGTTTTGGGAGAATCCACCAGGAAAGTAGCAAGGCCCTGATTGGATCTCCATTATATTTATAGGGTATTATACTCTATTTAAACCCCATTCCAACTCTGATCGGGTTGCTGGAACGTGCTACATTCCACCAGCTGCTGCTTAAACTGTAAGTTTTGGGAGAATCCACCAGGAAAGTAGCAAGGCCCTGATTGGATCTCCATTATATTTATAGGGTATTATACTCTATTTAAACCCCATTCCAACTCTGATCGGGTTGCTGGAACGTGCTACATTCCACCAGCTGCTGCTTAAACTGTAAGTTTTGGGAGAATCCACCAGGAAAGTAGCAAGGCCCTGATTGGATCTCCATTATATTTATAGGGTATTATACTCTATTTAAACCCCATTCCAACTCTGATCGGGTTGCTGGAACGTGCTACATTCCACCAGCTGCTGCTAAACTGTAAGTTTGGAGAATCCACCAGGAAAGTAGCAAGCCCTGATTGGATCTCCATTTCTTTATATGGTATTATACGCTATTTAAACCCCATTCCAACTCTGATCGGGTTGCTGGAACGTGCTACATTCCACCAGCTCTGCTTACAAAACTGTAAGTTTTGGAAGAATTCAACAGGAAAGTAGCAAGGCCCTTATTGGTCTCCATTATATTTATAGGGTATTATACTCTATTTAAACCCCAACCCATCCAACTCTGATCGGGTTGCTGGAACGTGCTACATTCCACCAGCTGCTGCTGAAACTGTAAGTTTTGGGAGAATCCACCAGGAAAGTAGCAAGGCCCTGATTGGATCTCCATTATATTTATAGGGTATTATACTCTATTTAAACCCCATTCCAACTCTGATCGGGTTGCTGGAACGTGCTACATTCCACCAGCTGCTGCTTAAACTGTAAGTTTTGGGAGAATCCACCAGGAAAGTACCAAGGACCTTGATGGGATCTCCATTATATTTATTATAGGGTATTATACTCTATTTAAACCCCATTCCAACTCTGACGGGTTGCTGGAACTGCACATTCCACCACTGCTGCTTAAACTGTAAGTTTTGGGAGAATCCACCAGAAGTAGCAAGGCCTGATTTGATCGCCATTATATTTATGGGTATATACTCTATTTAAACCCCAGTCCAACTTCGCTCGGGCTGCTGGAACGTGCTACATCCACCAGCTGCTGCTTAAACTGTAAGTTTTGGGAGAATCCACCAGGAAAGTAGCAAGGCCCTGATTGGATCTCCATTATATTTATAGTGTATTGTACTCTATTTAAACCCCAGTCCAACTTCGGTCGGGCTGCTGGAACGTGCTACATCCCACCAGCTGCTGCTTAAACTGTACGTTTTGGGAGAATCCACCAGGAAAGTAGCAAGGCCCTGATTGGATCTCCATTATATTTATAGGGTATTATACTCTATTTAAACCCCATTCCAACTCTGATCGGGTTGCGGGAACGTGCTACATTCCACCAGCTGCTGCTTAAACTGTAAGTTTTGGGAGAATCCACCAGGAAAGTAGCAAGGCCCTGATTGGATCTCCATTATATTTATAGGGTATTATACTCTATTTAAACCCCATTCCCACTCTGATCGGGTTGCTGGAACGTGCTACATTCCACCAGCTGCTGCTTAAACTGTAAGTTTTGGGAGAATCCACCAGGAAAGTAGCAAGGCCCTGATTGGATCTCCATTAGATTTATAGGGTATTATACTCTATTTAAACCCCATTCCAACTCTGATCGGGTTGCTGGAACGTGCTACATTCCACCAGCTGCTGCTTAAACTGTAAGTTTTGGGAGAATCCACCAGGAAAGTAGCAAGGCCCTGATTGGATCTCCATTATATTTATAGGGTATTATACTCTATTTAAACCCCATTCCAACTCTGATCGGGTTGCTGTAACGTGCTACATTCCACCAGCTGCTGCTTAAACTGTAAGTTTTGGGAGAATCCACCAGGAAAGTAGCAAGGCCCTGATTGGATCTCCATTATATTTATAGGGTATTATACTCTATTTAAACCCCATTCCAACTCTGATCGGGTTGCTGGAACGTGCTACATTCCACCAGCTGCTGCTTAAACTGTAAGTTTTGGGAGAATCCACCAGGAAAGTAGCAATGCCCTGATTGGATCTCCATTATATTTATAGGGTATTATACTCTATTTAAACCCCATTCCAACTCTGATCGGGTTTCTGGAACGTGCTACATTCCACCAGCTGCTGCTTAAACTGTAAGTTTTTTGGGAACATAAATGAATCCCCACGCCTGTTCCATCCTTTCCTCCCTCCCTTCCAACCACCAGGAAAGTAGCAAGGCCCTGATTGGATCTCCATTATATTTATAGGGTATTATACCCTATTTAAACCCCATTCCAACTCTGATCGGGTTGCTGGAACGTGCTACATTCCACCAGCTGCTGCTTAAACTGTAAGTTTTGGGAGAATCCACCAGGAAAGTAGCCAGGCCCTGATTGGATCTCCATTCTATTTATAGGGTATTATACTCTATTTAAACCCCATTCCAACTCTGATCGGGTTGCTGGAACGTGCTACATTCCACCAGCTGCTGCTTAAACTGTAAGTTTTGGGAGAATCCACCAGGAAAGTAGCAAGGCCCTGATTGGATCTCCATTATATTTATAGGGTATTCTACTCTATTTAAACCCCATTCCAACTCTGATCGGGTTGCTGGAACGTGCTACATTCCACCAGCTGCTGCTTAAACTGTAAGTTTTGGGAGAATCCACCAGGAAAGTAGCAAGGCCCTGATTGGATCTCCATTATAGTTATAGGGTATTATACTCTATTTAAACCCCATTCCAACTCTGATCGGGTTGCTGGAACGTGCTACATTCCACCAGCTGCTGCTTAAACTGTAAGTTTTGGGAGAATCCACCAGGAAAGTAGCAAGGCCCTGATTGGATCTCCATTATATTTATAGGGTATTATACCC